TTTTTTTGTGGAAATGTTAAAGGATAAAAAAACCGCAATGTTCACCGTCTTAAATTGTTTTTTTAATTTAGCACCGAATAGATTTACTGTCCACGAGTGCTTATTTGTCATCAGAAACTTTTTACTAATTTTGATTTTTTTTTGTAAATTTCGAAAAGGTTCTGTTTCCGTTTTTCTTTTTGTTGCAGGAAAAAAGCGTAAAGGTTTCTTAATTAATTCGAGAACGAAATAATAGTCAGGTTGGCCGTGTAAGAATTTAAAATTCGAAAGCATTGGATCGATGGTATTTAGTCGAAACATATGGACCGGACGAAGTACCTGTCTCTCAACGGAGTGACGACGAAGACATTAAAATGTGTTATTTATTACCCTAAGACTCATATTTGTTATTTTAGTATTATGTATTGAGTTCCTAGGGCAATCTGGCCTGAGAAATAAGGGGACACTTACGGTTCGGCTGTCTGAACAGAATGTCGATTTCACTTGTTTTATATTTAATTTTGGAAATAGATTAATTTGTTGAAAATATCGTGTTTTCTTACATATATATACTGTATTAATACTTTCAATAAATAGTTTGTTTTTTTATTTTTCATTTTCCTCCAAAAATAAAAAAAAAAAACTTGAAGTAATTAATACACCCTATTATTCATAGTGGATAAATCAATAATCTCTGTATAAAATAATATAAGAGAGTCAAACTGATTGCATACATTTCAACACTAATTGTTCATTGCTATATTTTTGTTAATTTAAAAGCAAAAAATATGGGGAAAGCACTGTTACCTTGGCAATACATAGGCGAAACTTTTATGAAGAATAGTTTTCTTTACATTTAGGCCTTCGTTGTTCGTCAAATGAAAAGTATATTTCTAAAAGAGGATTTTTTATACAAATTTGTAGATGGTTGAAACCGATATATTAACGTTTACATTTTTTTTTTACCATAAGGGCTAATATAAATGATTTTTTTTTAAAATAATTATAAAAAAATACTTCCTACAAAGACCTAATTGAGCATTAGAACAAAAAAGAAGCATTTTTTTCTATACGATGGTATCAATAACTCGATTTTTTATGATAGTGCCCTTTTGCAAAGTCTAATTTTGTATTACCTCCGGAATAACGGTTAGCTTATAATATACTTTCATCCCTGAAACATTCAGCTTGTGACACCGAAGTGGGAGGCAGTGTCAAAATAAGTTTTAATCTACACCATACTCTATTCCTATTTCATTATTCTCGTTTTGTTTACAAAATTATTTACATATATTTAAAAAGCTAAAATAATTCAACCTATTTTGTCGCAACTGAACCCAAAAAATTTTGAATATTAGTTATATTAAATTTAACTAAATTAGGTGTAATTTCACTAAATTAGATGTAATAATTATCAATAAATTCTAAAACCTAGTGACGTTAGATTGGAAGTGGCAACAGGACTTACACCGGCATGGAAATTTACGTTATTATAAGCGTGCCATTACACATTTTTCATTGATAAAACTGCGTAAAATTCTTATCTTTATCTCTTCTGTTACTTCTCACCTTTCGACGCCTCGTCTCGCGTCTAGAAATAGAATGTCGAATTAATGTTGGCATCGTGAATATTATATTTTATCAATGACTGCTTATATCTCTGTTATCTCTGGCTTTGACCGAACGGAAAGCGGTAGAACAGCCTTAAGTGAATTACATTATTTTTTTTTGTTTTGAAATTTACATAATATACGTCAATAAATGAACCAGGTAAGTGTTAATTAAATCAAAACAAAAGTAAAATGTAAAACTGTACCTTCTCAGTATCATATAGGTAGTTTACTATACCCATACTAAGTGAGGAAGAAACTGGACATCACAAATAGTTAAATCAATGGCTGAAAATGAAAATATAAGAATTAAATCTAGTTTTTCTGCCATCATTTAGTAATGCTAAGCCTAGGTCATTTATTAAACTTTCAATTTTATATCCTCTTGAATCAATTTTGTCCGATCCCCATAAGAAGTTGTGTCCGTTAAAATCGCCCAAGATTAATTTTGGTGAGGGTATTTGAGATATTAGATAAGCTAGGTCTGTAATATCTAGGATAGTATCGCTTGGAATATAGACATTACAAATAATGTTAAATTGGACGCTAGAATGGATACTTACTGCCACAGCTTCTAAAGTGGTATTTATATTGATTGGTGTTGATTTAGTGTTGTTATGAAAATAAGTTGCTACGCCTCCCCAACTTCTATTTCTAATAAGTCTGTTTTTAAAGTATACTGTGTAGTTTTTTAGTTTGTAAACATTTGAGTCTTTAAAATCTTGTAAGCATAATATATTTGGTGTATATTTATTTAATAAAGTTTAAGGCAATTCAAGGTGTAGATAGTAACCATTTAGATTCCATTGTAACGTGGTCATTTTTACTTTCCTATCTGGGGGTCGATTCTCGAGTTGTAGGAATTTGATTCCGAGGAAAATGAATTCCTATGATAATATTCCTACAGTTTTAGTTGTCGGTATTCTCGAGTACAATAGGAATCCAATTTCCTGTAGGAGTTCCAATTTCAGTATGTCGTTGATAATTTCAAGATAACGCAGAAACGAGCCAATGGAATGTATTTATTTCAGTTAAATATAGTTGTTTAACAGTTGGCAACAAGGCAATTTGTCAAAGATATTTGATTTTCTGGATGTACTGGTTATTTATTTTCAATATTTTTTATTAGCAGCAAAAAGAGAAAGCGAAAAAGTTTCAGAAGGACTACCATTGTGATTACCGTTATTCAGGGCCGACTAGAGGGGCTGTAGCCGGGACTAATTCCCGGGGGCCGAAACACAAATGGGGGCCCGGCAGCGGTATAAGGGGGGCCCGGCAACTGGAATTTTTGTTTTGTATGAGAAAAGAAATTCGACACAAGACGAGAGGGGGAAGTTTTATAGGTTCGGAAGCTTTTTTTTTTTTAGAAAATTGAATCCAAGTAGAGGAGGAAAAGTTTTTGTTTGAAGAGCTGTTTTTTGTCACGGGGCCCGATCTATATAGAGAATTGTCCTGGGGCCCGGCTTGGCTCTCGGCGGCCCTGCCGTTATTTATATTTATAAGTAGAAACTAAAGAAAGTAACTAGTACAAATGTTTTTCCTACACCAAAAGGTTAATGCTTGTATCCTCTAATTTCTAATTTGAAATACAAAAATATAGGAATACTTTCAATATTTACCAAATTATAGTAAAATTCACATCATACATCATTATAACTTGGTTTGGGCTCCGTCGAGGAATCCTGATGTGCGAATTTCAAACAAGACTCAAAAGTACATACCTAACTAGTTTCTTTGGTAAATTTTCATAAATAATTTATGGATTTTGGTTTACTTTATTTATTGACTTAAAGACATTTCAAATAGGATAATTTTACTCAAATTAAAATTAACTTTTAATAATATATGTAGTATGTTTCTTTTTAAATGAGTTTGGAATCGCCTAAAAAGTAAGCATAAATCAATAACCACATTAAACAAGCTACTATTGCGCAAGCCCGATTACAAAATCTTGTAGGAAAATTAAATTCCCTGTCTCATGAGGATGGGAATTCATTTCCTATAACTGCTTAGGAAAATATTCCTACAACTTGACTCCAGAATACCTAACCTACTTTCCTATAGGAAAAACAACCAAATTCCTATAGGAAAAAAGTCGAGAATCGACCCCCTGTATACAGATATAAGGAAAGTATAGGAATCATGATTTTTTTCGACCTCGAGTTTTTGATGGATTTTTACGTTTTGAGGTCGCCTGAATCCGTTTTGACTATTTTCGCGCTGATGTCTGTGTGTGTGTGTGTGTGTCTGTGTGTCGCATAACTCATGAACCGATATACGGAAAAACACCAAATTTTAAACTTAAGCTTTGTTCCAGCGTCCAATGAGCTGATTAGATTTTGGGCAGAGTCGGAACATCTGGGGGGGTACTTTATAAGTGGTCATTTTTATATTTTATGGAATATATCTGTTATTTACGTTTGGGGAAGAAAATTCTTCAAATAAAAGTTACTTATAATATTATTATCTATAATTTTTGTTCCATACAAAATTTTCCTAAAATGGTCCGTATTCGAGAAATTTGACAAAATGTAAAAAATATTTTTTTATAAAAATTGTTTAAACAAAAGTTGTTTATATATATAATATAATTCTCTATAATTTTTATCCTATACATAATTTCTCTAAAATAGACCGTAATCGAGATATTTGAGAAAATGTGTAAATTTCGAAATTTGAAGAAAACTTAAAAACGGATAAAGAAAAAAACATTAAATTTTAAACTTAAGTTTTATTTCGGCCTGACATGAAAAGATTAGATTTTGGACAAAGTCGGAACATCTGGGGGGTACTTTATGGGAGGCAGTTTTTATATTTTATGGAATATATCTGTTATTTCTGTTTGGAGAAAAAAATTGTTCAAATAAAAGTTATTTCTAATATTATTATCTATAATTTTTGTTTTATGTCAAAATTTCCTGAAATGGTCCGTATTCGAGAAATTTGACAAAATGTGCAAAATTCTGATTTTTATGAAAATTGTTGAAATAAAAGTTGTTTGCGATATCGATCTCTATAATTTTTGTTCATACATCATTTTTCTAAAATGGACCGTAATGGAAAAATTGTAGGAAAAGTGCTAAATTTATATTTTTCAGTATTTTCGTTTTCAATGAATATCTATAGAAAAATGTTTCGAGGTAGATATATGTGGAAAATGTATATATTTAGTTTATCCTCTAAACATTTATAGAGGTGCTGCAATAGGTTGTACAAAATAACCGGAGAAGGCCTATAAAAACTAGATAGGAAAGTCATTTAATAATAATCTTGTGAATTTATTGAGGAATCGCTACTTGGATCCAGTTCTAGAGGTCCTTCTGATATTTATCAGTAGGTCATGTAGTTGGTCGTAATTTATACATAGTTCATCTTTATTGGATTCCATATAAGGTTTAATAGATTTCAAGTCTTCATTTAGGTCTTCTTCTCCCTTCTTTTTCTTTGGTTGTTCAGGTGTTTTAAAATTTTGATAATTTTGTTCTATTGTTGGACTATCAATTTCGGAAGCATTACGTTTGTTTTGACTGGAGTTGGATGTAAATTTATTTGATCCAGATGGTTGCGGCTGTTCCTTTTTGGATTAAGTTCAATTGTATTGGTTTGAGTATGGGGGGTTGTTGGGGTTTCTACTACTGGACTAATATCACAGTGGCTCATAGATTCATTTGTTGTAGGTATGGTAGATTCATCACCGTTGTTTATTTCTTGATTTGGTTCCAGTGTTTGGTTATTTTGAGGAGGACTATTTGAGTAGGTTGGTGCTGGTTGTGTTTGGGGTTGACTTTGTGTGTTAAGTTGATTTAAACAATCTGATCCCTTATGACCTGGTTTTTTACACTCATAGCACACCTGGTCATCTGCACTTAAAAATATGCGATACGTTGTATTTGAATGTTTTCAGGAATTCCATTAGTGGAAGGGGTTATATAAACTTGGCGACGGAAACTTAATATATGTTGATATTTACACCAATTCTTAAGGGCGTGCATTGGAACAGAGAAGTCTGAACAAGTCCTCCCAGAGAGAGACAAAATAAAGTTATCCGAGAGGTGCTGCCTCTAGTTAGCAACTAAGTAACAAATATACGTTCTGCATTTTCGCATTTGCGAATAAAAATGTATTCTTTTAAACTTGCAGGTACGGGCTTTTGTATGGTATAGATTGAAATTTTTTTGACTTTGCCTCCCACTTCGGTGTCACAAGCTGAATTTTTCAGGAATGAAAGTACATGATAAGCTTACCCTTATTCCGGAGGTAATACAAAATTAGACAGCGCAAAAGGGCACTATCATAAAAAATCGAGTTATTGATACCATCATATAGAAAAAACAATGCTTATTTTTTGTTGTAATGCACAATAAGGTCTTTGTAGGAAGTATTTTTTTATAATTATTTAAAAAAAATCATTTGCATTAGCCCTTATGGTCGAAAAAAAATTTAAACGTCAATATCTCGGTTTCAACCGTCCACAAATTTGTATAAAAAATCTTTTTTTAGAAATATACCTCTCATTTGACGAAAAACGAAGGCCTAAATGAGAAAAAACTATTCCGCATAAAAGTTTCGCCAATGTATTAACAAGGTAACAGTGCTTTCCCCATATTTTTTGCTTTTATAATAACAAAAATATAGCAATAAACAATTAGTTATGTCATGGTTTAACTAGAAAGCACACATTGAAGGTAAAGTCTCTCACTCTCTACTCTTCTCTCTCAGTGCTAAAATGTATGCAATCAGTTTGACTCTCTCATATTATTTTATACACGGATTATTGATTTATACGCTATGATTTATTTTTTATTTTTTGAGGAAAATAAAAAATAAGAAAATATGAACTATTTATTGAAGGTATAAACACAGTATATATAAGTATCGATTATAAACAGTAAGGCTATTGCTTTGCAAAATACAATAAATTCCCAATGTAAAAAACATTATAATAAGAATAATTAAAAGTATATAAATCATAAATTAATAATATTAAAATTTATAGTACAAGACTTTTAAACTAATCAGAATAAGATTCACCACACGAATCGACATTTTCCAAAACATTAGCGACTGTGGTCAAACTTTTTCTGCAGTTTTTCTGTGCCATACAGGTAGGTGCAGGAATCGATACAGCCAATATGTTTTTCCTGCATTTGCAAATTTTGCTTTCTTAGTCTAGAACAGAATAATATTGTTAGAATATTGTACATCTATGAAAATTATCGGTGTATAGTACCTTTTTTGCATTTGCATGATGTAAGTTCTGTTATGTCTGGTGGCAGGTCGGACAGAGTCTTAGAGTGGGTATCAGACTTCCATCTTGATCTACTTTTTATTCATACTCTTTAACATTAGGAAGCTGCACCTGCGGCTTTAAAGAACTTAGCCAAATATTTAGCTGGTGAAAACATATTAAACAATGTAATCTTAGGTCGTCTTAAGTCGGTGGCAATTTAGCAATGGTTTTTAAAGAGGCCATTAATCCCCTCAAAATGTTAATGGAAGTAACATTGGAAATTTTTGAATAAATTTTTATGAAACATTTTTCAAGATTAGAGAATGTTTTCTTTTCCCAATGCCAGACTATTGGCTGGTTGTATCATAACCGGTCAGAGAATGAAAATCATACAAATTTTCTAGAAGGTATCATCTAAATTTAAATCATGTACTGCTAGAAATCGTCTTGATTCTCTTCGCCCTGTTCTGAACCATATCTCTTTAGTCAAATGCTTCTTAAAATAAATTTTTAAGACTAGAACATCTGTATCGTTCCAATTAATAATGCAGCGTGAATGCCCAGAATTTTTGGCTGACAATATGTGCAATAAGATACGAGTATCAGCTTCTTCGTGATTTGAATTTAAGAAATCGTCTTTTGATGGTTCAAAATTCGTCCCATATTTATTGAAATTCGCGAATCCACCACTAGTTACAAATTAAATATGCTTTTACTGAATGGAATTTTGAAGAAGTTGCTCTGACAGAAAATTTGTTAAACGTCTTTTGTTAAATATCGAATGAATAAACAAGTTCTATTGTTGCGGAAGTGGAGTATTGGGTCGGTCAATTTCTACATTAATTGATTTCTGGAATCCTTTCTTTTGACGAGTTTTTGATAGAATGTTCTTTATAATGATCATATACCACATCTATCCTTTAAGCATTAAATTTATTTCTAAAAATATCTGCTTGTTTTCACATCGTCAATCAATTTTAATAGACTTCATTTATTTGCTATGTTGAATATAGGGTGTGTTAAAATTTTTAATTTTCTCAATTTTTTTAAATGGAATACCCTTTATGTTATACCACCAATTGATTAATACAGGGTCCATTTACAAAATTGAGAAAATCGTAACTTCACGTTTTGACACACCCTATACAACATAGCAAATTAATGAAGTTAATTTTATTAAAATTGATTGACGATGAGAAAACAAAATTAGTATAACAACCTGCAGGGTGTTTTGCTTTTAAAAAGTATAGATTTGGTTCGCACCTCGTTTATGGACCACCCTGTATATTTAGGAATAATTGTTAAATATAATCATACAACTTTTATATTAAAAATTTCGTCGTATTTCTAATAATAAAACAGCTATCTATCAAATATGCGTTATTGGCTAACTATTGGTATCGTTGTATAGACAAATTTTTAAAGAATTTTATGATAAGATAATATACACGATGATGCATTTTAAAAAATTGAGTAAATTGAACTTAAAATCAGTTCTATCTCCACTATTCGTTAGCTTAGTATCTTGTAAGTCTGTATATTAAACAATTTTGAGATCAATGTAAACCTACCTAAATTATGATAATTCATTCTCTAATTTCAAAAAAAATTAATGCTTGGCAATAGTGTAATATTTTATAAAAATATTCTAGGATTGAATACAGTACTAAAATATTCTAAAAATAAAATACAGGGTATTCTATCTAAAAAATATACATTTTTATTTGCCAGGAAAAACGCAATACCCTGTATATCCAAAAATATTTTTAAAATATCTATTTTTCAAATCTATATAACTTTTATTAGATTAAATTTGAAGTTTAAAATTTACTGTTTATTCATTTTTGAATTATCGTCAAAACCTAAAGTACAGTTGAAAACTACAAGTCGAAAAAAAAGCAATCCTATACTTTACTGGATACATGAAAGTTAAAACCTAATTTGAAAAAAAAAATACATTTAAGCATATTAGATTTGTATGAATATTTGAAATATTCAATTTTATAAAACAGCTAAAAGTACCTACCATTAACACCTAGGCTCCAGTATCCAACAAAATAAGCAAGCAATAAATTTTTACCATCTCCGTACAGACATTTTCCGATCTCAAAGTATACAGTTGAGGCTTTCTCTCATTACTTACATATCCTTCATGCTCTTACGCAAATATTGAATATGTTTAATTCTTACAAAATTAAAAAAATCGAATACAAATCAACTTAATAATTGAAATGATATATGTACATATTAGTAAACTCCTAAATAAGGACCTGCATATTTGAATTTATTTTTATTTTTATTCAAGACGACTTTAGCGCCATCTATTAGAGAAGCTCCGAATTAACCTGTGGCTACTGTATGCCTACTGTATGCAGTTTTAGGAAGTTTTCTTTTATATTTTACACATAAATGGCGATTTATAAATTATTCCAAAATTTACTTCAATGAGCTTTTAAGAAAATTGACGCAATTAATTTAGATATTTTAAGTGACATTTGTTGCTTTAGTATATAGCCTATTCAAAGAAGAATTATTTTCATCATCGGGTAATTATTACTGGTATATTTTTAGCTTTATTTCATCGTAAAAATTACCATATTTTGGGAATTATTTTTAAACGATCCCTTATAGTTAGACACACCAAAAACCTTTATTGAACAGTAGTATATATCTATTATCGGCAGGAATTTTTTCAGTTTTATCTTTGTTGTAGTTTCAGCTAAAAAGTCATTGAAAGAGCGTTGTGTATGCCTATGTTAAATACATTGCCCACGCCCGCCCTTAAGAATGTCATTGGACTAGGTTTATACAAAGGTTCCATATCGATGTAATTAAAAGTTCATTTGGAATGGTCGGACATACATTAGATAATACAAGTCTTTCGGAAGGGCTATTTAATTTTCGAGCTTTGATGCATTCTCCGTTTACAGTAATTTCGACTGTTAAAAATTTTTCAACGATGTTTTGTGATGAGAGGTAGACACATATTCTATTATTCGACATTCGAGAAGCAAATAATATATTTCTAGGTTGAATATATGCTCATGCTCCTAGTTGATAGAGGTACTCTTGCAAATTTACGTTGTTCAAGGATGGAAAAACAATTGCTTGTTCTTTTGTTGTGAGATTGGAAGTCTGATTATGATTTTGTTTGAGAGCTGTTGAGTAGGGCATGTTGGAGGTTGGATTTTCAGGGGAATCAATTTTATTAGTAGGATCCCCTGCTAAGGATGAAAAGGTGGTATCATCCATTTTTTCATTAAATGTCTCATTAGTATTTCTTAAGACGGCCCTGTTCAGAACAGATAAAAATTCTTATCTGTTGTTTGTAGCTAAATGTATTTTCGATTTTGTATATAATTTGGTTTTATATTGGTATAATGCAAGTATTTACCTGCTTAAGATTTGATTTGTTTCACTTGTGTTTAGTAATCACTGATTCATGTATACTTTTAATATATTTTAACTATTTACCCACGATATTTGTTAATAATTCTGGAACTGTTCAAACACTGTTTATAATGTTGATCAGGTCCGGACTCCTATCTTTTCTTGAAACAATAATCACACTTAAATAGTTTTTCATTAGTGTAAATTACTACATGTTACTGCAAATTAGATTTCCGAGTAAAATTTTTTTGAACAAATTTTACAGTTGAATTGCCTTTTTTTCGGTTAATTATTGATTGTTGCTGTAATTTTGATTTATGAATAATTTTTTCGAAACAAATTGTACGCTTATTTACATTTTTAATTACCTTTCGTCTTTTAATCTTCATTAAATGGATAAAACAGTGTTTTAAAAATTCTAGTTTAGTTGTAAAAAATGTCCCACAAAACTTACAAATTACATAACGTTTTCTAAAATGTTCGTCGATGTGGTTTAGTCTTGATGTCGAAGATGGAGAAACTGTAATAGAAAAAGGATAATAAAACAAAGTTAAATTTCCATCATCTGGTATATTTATAAAAAGAAAACCGAATTTTATAAATTACAATACTTTTTCTCATATTATGCATAAAGTTAGTAAAAAGTAACTTTACACATTCTGCCTAATGCTAGTTATATAAATATTTCACACACTACAAAGGAAAACGTATAAATTTGTGTATGTTGAGACATTCTTTATAAAAAAAAAGAATAAATATCGATAAAATAATTTGGAGCAGCTGTTAAATAGTATTTTTGATGTACTTATCATACTTAAATGATTCTGTTTCACTAAATTATAATTATTATTAATTTTCTTAAAACATCCGCCATCGGTCGAAAGAGCCATTTTTTAGACCATTTTAGAACCTCTGAAACACATTTAAAAATACTTTTGTCCCTGGGAACGCTTCAAAAAATTTATTATCTTAAAACTTCCAAATTTTGATTAATTTCTTGTTATAGAAACTGCTAAATAATATTTGACCATTCCTAAGGCAATAAACCATTCCAAATTTTTCCGTAAACAGTTAATTTTCTATGTTTAAACCCAGGGAAAAATTCGTGAAAATTTTGCAAATATTTTTATTTACGAAAACAATATGACAATTGGACAACGTTATGTATAACACTAAAGAATGGAGAAAAATGACTTTTAGTTTTAAGCTTTCTAAAAAATAAACTATTCATCAGATTGAGTTTATATTTAATAAGGACACGTGTAAGATAAATCGTTTAAATGCATGGCACTGGTAACACGTTTAGTTCCTCAGCATACTATTTGGAACCACCATACCGAGTGTTCAAATTAAAGTGTTACAGTTAAATACCGCCGAAAATATGCATTTTAGAAAAAAAAGTTTTATAGTTTTTTAGGGGAAACATTTTGGCTAAATTCATTTTTTTATAGCTAACCATAATATGGCCATATCGAGGTGGACTTTTTTTTTAAATTGACCCCATTTTTTTACATATTCTTAAAGTACATAAAAAAAATAAGAAACTTTTAAGGGATTTTTTTTTATTGGACTTTTACTTTTTGAGTAACAGCTCTAGTTCAATATAAGCCATTGACTAGACTAATAACATGATTGTTTGTTTTATTTTCATACGTGTGTTCCGTTTTAATTTTTAATTTAAAACATTAAAATACTTTTTTAGAATTTTTTATAAAAGGCGGTGTTTAGCTGTAACACAATTTGAACACCCGGTATAAAAGAAAATATAAGTATTTTCCTAGTATTCAAATTAAAACTAAAAAAACTAATTTACCTAATCTGTGGCGGCCTGGAGTTATTGCAAGTTGCTTCGCAAAAAATATATATACAGGCTGGACCAATCTTGTGGAAAAGTTCGATATCTTCCTTGTTGAAAGAGATATTAAAAAAGTGTATATTAAGAAAATTATGGACAGGTTTGAGGTTACATTTTAAAATTATTAGGAGGCATACAGGGTGTTGCATAGCTCGTGTACGAACCAAACATATGTTTTTTTTAATAACCCCAGTATATTATTTTAGATTCTGTTTACTCGTCTTTTTTCCATTCTTCTAATATATGGTTTGTCTATGTTATATAGGGTAATTTTCAAGGAATTGACATTTTTGTGAGAGAATCGTACATAATTCAACGTCCAGCAGCCAATTACTTTTTAGTTATATTTTTATTATCTGTTTATTTGTATACAGGGAGACTCAATACTCAGACCCTTGATTTTCTTGTTTTATTTAAATGGGACACCCTATATTTTATATCACCAGTAAAATCATCTGTCTTTCATTTTTATAAAGCATTCCCTATACCTAAAGTTAATATTTATCGATATTTTTTTAACAATAAATGAAAATTATCGTTATTTCGATAAATTAAACTAGTTTTTCATAAAATACTCTTTATAAACAATAACACATATTATTTATTATTGTTTATAAAGGTATTTTATTAAAAACTAGTTTAATTTATCGAAATAACCACAATTTTCATTTGTTGTTAAAAAATATCGATAAATATTAACTTCAGGTATAGGGAATGCTTTATAAAAATGAAAGACTTGGAACAGATGATTTTACTGGTGATATAAAATATAGGGTGATCCATTTAAATAAAACAAGAAAATCAAGGGTCTGAGTATTGAGTCTCCCTGTATACAAATAAACTGATAATAAAAATATAACTAAAAAAAAGTATACTTCATCATGTTATAAAATTCGTGTGGATAAAAAAAAAATTTTCTACAGTGTGTAATTGGCTGCTGGACGTTGAATTATGAACGATTCTCTCACAAAAATGTCAATTCCTTGAAAATTACCCAATATAACATAGACAAACCATATATTAGAAGAATGGAAAAAAGATGAGTAAACAGTATCTAAAATAATATACTGAGGTTATCATTAAAAAAAAAACATGTTTGGTTCGTACACGAGCTATGCAACACCCTGTATACCTCCCAATAATTTTAAAATGTTAACCTCAAACATGTCCACAATTTTCTTAATACACTTTTTTAATATCTCTTTCAACAAGGAAGATATCGAACTTTTCCACAAGATTGGTCCACCCTGTATATAAATCAAATAAGAAAAACAATTAACTAACTAGCTGACCCGATCCTGCTTCACTGGAATTTCTCAAACCTAAATTATTAAACGTGAAGTTTTCGTTACTCGTGAAAAATTTGTTCATGCGATACCTAAAAAAAATTTTTTTTTAATTTTTTTTTATTTTTATTTATTTATTTTTTTAATTTTTTTTTATTTGTTTTTATTTGTTTTTATTTATTTTTATTTCACCATCGTATCCCCTTAAAATGTGACAATCGTCATTATTTATTTATTCAAGTTCTTACTTTTAAAAAACCGATACCCCCATACAAACTTTCACCCCCTGCTTCTACCCTTAAAATGTGAAAATCTAAAACACTTATATGTCATTATTTATTTATAATGAGTAGCATCAGTTCCAATTTTAGAGTTCTCACCTTAAAAAAAATGTACTCCCATAAATTCTCCCTCCATTTTTCCTTAAAAATGTAAAAAATCCTGAAATACGTCATTATTTATTAATGATATGTCGCTACAATTCCAATTTTCATGTTTATACCTTTAATAAAACGATACTTCCATACAAACTTTCATCCCCCGTTTCCCCTCTTAAAATGTGAAAATCCCAAAAACCCTGAAATACGTATTTATTTATGATGAGTAGCTACAGTTCCAATTTATAAGTTCCTACCATTAAAAAATCGAGACCTCCCTACAAACTTTCACCCCCCTTAAAATTAAAAATTCAAAAACCCTAAAAAAAGTCATTATTTATTTATAATGAGTAGCTGCAATTTCAATTTTCAAGTTCCTAACTTCAAAAAATTCGATAAAACTTTCACTTCCCGTTTCCCCTCCTTAAAATGTAATGTGTATAAAATCCGTTCTTAGTGGGTACCTACGTCAAATTTCAAGTCAATCGGGCTTATAGTTTTGGAGATCTCGTGATGGGTCAATTTTTTTTTAGTGTCAGAGAATCCAAAATAGTGTTTCAAAATGTCTATAAACTTTGTAAAATTTCAATAGTTCGAGTGTCGGCGTATATTTATCTAGATTATATTTATCGATAAATCGATTGGAACAAGTATCACTTGAATGGACTTTCATTAATATGAATTATTAAATGTTTCTATAAATTAAATTTATCATTAAATGTTTTGGAACAAATATCACACTTAAATGGTTCTTTCTTAATGTGTATTATTAAAAGTTTCTGAAAAAATTGTTCTAAAAAAACAAACACCTTAATTGTTCTTCATTAATGTGCATTATTAAATGTTTTTGTAAATTACATTTAACATTAAATCTTTTGGAACAAATATCACATTTGAATGGTTTTTCATTAGTGTGAATTATTAAATGTTTCTGTAAATTATATTTGACATTAAATGTTTTGGAACATATATCACATTCGAATTGTTCTTCATTAGTGTGATTTAATAAATGTTTCTGCAAATTACATTTGACATTAAATCTTTTTGAACAAATATCACACTTGAAAGGTTTTTTATTAGTGTGAATTATTAAATGTTTTTGTAAATTACATTTAACATTAAAACTTTTGGAACAAATATCACATTTGAATGGCTTTTCATTAGTGTGAATTATTAAATGTTTCTGTAAATTACATTTAACATTAAATCTTTTGAAACAAATGTTACACTGGAATTGTTCTTCAGTCGTGTGAATAATTAAATGTTTCTGTAAATTACATTTAACATTAAATCTTTTGAAACAAATGTTACATTTAAATGGTTTTTTATTAGTGTGCGTTTTTA